TCGCCGCTAGCGTGAAAAAGCGTCTATCCTCAGCATGAGCGCTGATCCGCGGGGCTCCTCCCTCGCCGCACACCGCTCCGGAATTCCCGCAATGCGCCGACCGCCCCACAAGAGGGCGATATAGCAACGGGGCTCCTGCAGCCTTGCAAGACAAAGGCGTGTAAATAAACGATATTTTGCTATTTTAATTTCGGGAACAATATATGATCGCTGCAACATAAATAATTTACCGTTATCACCTGTAAGTACAAACTTTCTGCATTCATGGTGACATCATCCCAGGTAGTTCTCGAATGCATAGACATAGTACTTAGGAAGAGGCAGGATATTACAGAATACATGTTGAATAGCCATTAAAATGTTCTTTATCCTATTATTACAGTAACATGCAACTGTTGGAACGTTCCTTTACAGAAGGCTTTAACGTGTCTCCGGATGTATATGAAAACCGATACACACACCGCTAACATAGTGAATCAAAAGTTCACGGTATGCGCGAGGCCCATCGACTGACTGCAGTCTAACCCATAACCAGGTTTTCCCAGATTCTTCACTTGATTCCCCCCCCCCCCCAACTCGTAAAAAAAAAACAAGTGCACTCTGAGGGTGCGAATGTAACTTATATTTTTTCAGTCCTCATGAATACAGTACTTGATTCGTAAGTCATTCATTGGATAATTTATTATCATTATTATTATTATTACTACTGTTATTAAAAATGGAAGAAGAAACGTAAGGAAATACAGAAGTGTATTTATTTAAAACTGTAAGTTAAGAACTACTTTACAGTATATTAACAGCCTGAATATTAATGGTACAATTTTCATAGGAAACACTTGGCTATATGACTTCACATAAAAAAACTAACAAAAAAATCAGCCTACAAATTACCTACAGTCAGCTTTTTCCTTTTTCCTGCCCCAAGTGGCTTGCTGCAAAAATAATGTACATAAATGTAGACCACCGAGCAATTTTTGTTGGCCGTCATCATGTTTATACCGGCATGTAATGGAAGAGAAGCATCGTAAAATTCTACGTATTTGGAATTCTGTGTTTTTTTTATGGCCTCAGGTATTAAACATTTGCAGAAGGACACTTCAATGGAACAAAGAGGAAATACGGGACATTAGCTTGCCGGCGACAGCTGTTGGGGTTTGGCTCTTCACAGAACTTCCATGTGTGTCTATTGTCTAAGAAGATCCCTCCCCCTCCCCACAGCCCCAATGCCATCCCCTACCCCCCTCCAAGCCCCTTATTGCTTAATGAGGTAACTATTCTTTTGGTCCAAGCAGCTTTGTTGTGTATATTACAGTGTAACCAGAAGAGTGACATCATCAAAGTTCAAGAAGCACTTTTATGGGTGAAGCTGTAGATCCAACCAGCCGTAATGTGGTCTGATTCAGCCAGGAGCAGCCGGTCATGTAGGCAACAAAGGTCATTGAGGAGCAAACCCCCAACATGACCCACAGATGGGACGGCTCCCGACTTTTTCCACAATGCATTGTTCTTTTTACCCTTCATGGTGGATGGATTGGTGGATGTTGGGTGCAGATGGACCGTGACTTCGAAATTTCCACCACCGGGGAATGTATCAACAATAGACCTGGAATATTTAGGACTGGTAGAGGCCTGTGTACATCTGTGCATTACGGCCGTGAGTGTGTGTATATCAGTGTGTGCAGGGGCGGATTAACACACAGGCTAGATATGGCTTAAGCCTAGGGGCCCCACGTGTGCCAGCCTGCAAGGGGGCCCCCATTGGCGCGGAGGGGGTGGGGTTGGGGGGGCCCGCAGACTACTGTAGCCTAGGGGCCTCTGTACACCTTAATCCGCCCCTGAGTGTGTGGTAGATGGAACTTTAGGTAGCAGCTCCTTGCACCCAGCTCCTTCCAATCCTCCTGGTGCGGCCTTCAGCCTGTACAGATTTCAGGAGGTTTGCAGTGTATGTATGTAACAGTGTAAATGTGGCATCCCTCAGAGAACTACCCAGCCCCCCGAGACCAAAGCCTTCCAGGCTCTCCTGTTGCTTTAATTTTGCCGTTTTACAATCAAGAAAGAAAGAGAATATTTTGGCTTGATACCATAATCATGAGGTTAGGGAAAGTAGCATCTGATGCTATTGAACTTGGTAAAACATCCAAGTCAAAAACTAATGGAAGGGGAAAAAACAAGTTTATGCACATATGGAACAAATATGATTAAGTCTGATATTCCGAGTATTCATCTGATGATGACACAGCTGCCGATCATTTTTAAATAAGTAGGGTTGCGTGCGGATTCCTGCAGAGAGGAGCACATACGCCGACAGAGCGGGAGAGTGAGGCTGAACAGAACCCAGACGCGCGGAGGAGATACACTTACTGTAATTAGAAGCAGTTGGCACTGTCTGGCTTCGGGAATGCCACGGCAATGTCAGGAAATAGTGATAGAGAGCTGGCGCGCTAACGGCAGACCTTAGCACGACACCGCACGGAAACCAGTGGAAGAGGCTCAGTCGAGGCGAGAATAATGCAGCACTTAGCCAAAATTAGCAGGCGCCGTGAACCGTGGTAGAGGCGCACCAAGTGCAGACTGTGTTATTTTAACTCCGGTGGTGTCTTAGGAAAGCCTCTGTTTTCTGCAGAATCAGCGTTCAAGGCGACCGGCGCCTATGACACGCAAAGATCTTCGTTCTCCCACATTGGTAGCTTGAGCGCAGATTTAATACATTGTGACATTAAGAAACACAGGATAAGAAACCCAACGTGTGGAAGAAAGAAGGTCGGCTCGAAAAAAAAAAAAGTCAAACAAAACAAGACTTTCAAAATGTGTTTATTATAAAATATTGCAATTATAAGCCTGACCACATGGCGGCTGAGCAGCCCCATTACATAGCGTAAGAGCAAGGGCAACGTACAAAAAGATGCATAATAACGTCTGTAGTTGGACAGGGCGCAGCTTTGTTTCTTAATATTCGCTCTGCTTATTGCTAAGGATGCGACAAAAATGAGGTCCACCAATCAGAGCGCGTGCTGCTTATCGAGCGAGGCCCCGATTCCTTGGAAGGCTGTCAGACGCTGAGTGGCTCTGGATCTGTCATTGCACAATCATCCTCAGGTCCCTTTAATGCACTTCCTTGTTCTGGAGCAACGAGGTCAGTGACTATAAATCATCCCTGCGTGCTTTACTTTGGCTTGCGGGAGGCTGACATAATTGCAATGTTTTGTGAGTCAGACGACTCGGTTCCGCCACAGAAAGGACCGCAGGCCGAATTGCTAAGGATGATATTAAATCTGAGTGTAAGAAGCAAACTTAACCACTTACTGGTGGCTTAGCAAATCCTTACAGACGTTTTGAAACTGTCCTTTGATACTGCTATAAAATGAATGCATTTATAGGCCTAGGTCAAACATTTATAATATATTTCTATCACCAGTAAAAACAAATGCAAGAAGTCTTCATAGACTATTCACTAAGCCAGAGAATAAGAGCGGAACGATTCTACATAGTCATGCTTTAGAAAGGGGAGGGGCTATTCCAGTGTGTAATTTAAAGCTTTGCTATTTGCATTTGGAATCCACAACGCCTGGTACACATGTTAACAACAAAACAAGTGTTAATCGACCACCTTAACGCGCCAAAGTTACACAGAATCCAATCTACAATGCAAAACAGCTAGACTAAAAGATCACAGGTATAGATCACATTTAGGCTATAGGTGACCTGGAAAGATTTTGTTTCTAGTGAAAGGGATAATTATGAAATGATATCAAAATATCTCAGCGTGGTCAATCGGGAAACGCGAGCTGTACAGTACAGACATGCCCCTGAATATGTCCACAGTCCTGTAGACCTTGTTGTGCAATTAAACAGGGCAAATGTGCAATGGTGTTCAGGAACAATACCCTTCATATTAGCGCCATATTTTAGTGGATGTTTTCTAAATGAAAACTTCCTTATTAAAAATTGCGCCTTTAGTCTTTGGTAGAACGTTAAGATAGCGATTAATTGTTGTTTTACAGAAAACTGCATGGTGTCTCTTTATATTTAAGTGAAAGACTTAAAAACACTTCATGATTTCTATATGCCTTTATTGCAAATATCCTATTGAAACCATCTTTTAGTTTGAAGCTTTGAGAAAATGACATTCCTTCCATCTGAGCAGAGGAAATTGTGGGTGAATGACACGTCATTTTTCAATTTTCTAAGGCATTACGTTATAGGGAAGATGCCCAAAACCTTCCTAGGAACACACTCAATATGGTCATTAATACATCAAACAGTCTTATTAGGTTATTTCGGATAGGTTGAACATTCCACCCCTTTTATACTGGTTGAAAAAAGTATGCAATTTACAATGAGTCAGAGGCACTTTGTTCGAAATGTTTTTACCCTTAAATGTTAAAACTCTTGGTCCACGGTGTATTATTTATAAGTGAATCAAATGACTTCATGTGACCGTACGTTGCCCGAGCATCTGGAAGCCGTTGGGGCACAGGGCTCAGCGCCCCCCCCCCCCCCCCCCCCCCTCCCTCTCCCGTAATACAGAGTAGCAGCTGTCACTGTCTGAGCTGCAGGCATCACTGCTGTTGATTCTCACTCAAATCATTTCCCATATTTCGTTTGAAATACCTGCAACTAGGAGAAATCCTCATTCACTTCCGGCAGGAGCATCTTGACAACATTCAGCCACCAAACGCTCGCGCTTGTTAAACCACGCCGGGTCCGCGGTGGCGTCACACAATTTACCTCAAATAGTCCGATAAACCAGGCAGGTGTTTTCACACTTCATGACATGGCTATAAACTTAAATCTCTGGTATAAAATGTTTCAAATGCATTGGCTAATTGGAATTAAAAAGTGGTCAGAGCAGAATTAGAGAACACATTTTAATGAGAGCCACAAAGCTGAACGCTTTTATTTAGCGCATTTGACTAAGTCCATGAAATGTGGCTTGTGAATACGCAATTTTTCCACTTAATGTGATGACGATTAAAACTCTTAAATGTAGATGAACTTACATTTAGGTCATCCAGATTCTGCAGGATTTCCTTTCCTCCGGTAGTTTTTATTTCGATGCCCGAATCCCTCGGCTGACGCTCCCCAGAGCGCCCCTCTGTACCGGGGCTGCATCTCTCACTATCTGGACTCGTCCCTTCTTTGGATCCCTCCTTTTTATCTGCGGCTTTGGCGGCCCGGGAACTTCGCTGGCCGACGCTCAGCGCATCGAAATCGATGGTCTTGCTTTCATAGGCTCCCTCGACGTTGCAGAACATGCCACCGTATTTTTGCCGGGGTACCTGGTCCGTCGTTCCCGGTCGGGCGAGATAAACCGGCAGGTCATCCTCCTTGTCCCAGTTCCGCTTGCGCTCGGCCATGATCTTAGTGTGAGATGCGAGTGGAAAAATAGGCAAAAAAGAGATGGAGGAAAGAAGACGAAAGTCTCCAAATTGTGCCGAGCGAAGTGTCCTGCTGTAGCACTCGCAGCGGCACCAGGAGGAAATTTAATACCGGAGGTGGCAGTGCTGCCTGTTATCCCAAGACAAGCAAAGGATATTACCGGTGCATCACACTCTCTCACTTATTCATCTCCCATCTGGGGGGGATCTGAACGTATAGGCAGCCTTCAACAACTAAAGCAACTAACTAACCTATAGGCAGCGATCAATATGTAAGGTATCCCTTAAAAACTGGGTTAGAACTTGCTGTAGAACTACTATTTATAAGGAACACGTTGGATTTACCTCAAGGAGGCAAAGCTTATTTGTGCAGTAGCTAAATATACTGTTTTTAATAATTGCCTCATGTCCAAGTAGGAGACTAGTAATATTCGATTTTTGTAAGGTGGGAGAAAGTAGGCTATATACCATTTCACTTTGTAATAACAGTGTGTTTAAACCCGCTTAAGAGTTCGCTCAACTTTTTTTTTTAGTAAATTATTGTGAATAAGTCGTGCAGACCCGTGTCTACAAGAGTGACCACGGGTGCTGTATCGCACCCTCAGCTGGAAGTCAATATTCAGCATTTGATCGGCATCTTAGCTTGTAATCGTTCTTAAATGTGAAATTAAAAGCGCATATTTTGAGTCCAAGATAGTTTTAAGCAGGTACGTGCGAAAACAGGGGGGCGTGGCCGAGGATGTTCCCTTGGTAATTTTTTAGTGATGGGGAGGGAGGGTGAGCCTTCGATTAACTATCAGGCACCCCCAACTCCACCTCACCCCACACGTGTCTGATTATTCGTATGGTTGTTTGTTTCAAAAATGTATATTTAGCAAATTGACAACGGAACATTATTGCGCGTTATAATTGCGCACAGACTATAACTGAATGTGCGCAACCCGTATCATTAAAATACTTTTCACAGCACCAAGCGCCTCAGCTTAGTAGCTGTCCTTCCAGAACCCTTAATTGCCCGGATCCTATGCGTGGGCCTTTTACTTTGCAGCCATTAAGGAAGCGCTGTGTCTTTAAGATCAGGTTGCGTTACTGACGCTAAACCGGCCGCCGGTGCTCTAGCGCTGCAAAAAGACACGGAGGTCCGGTCAGCATAAACTAAGCGATCGGCCGGTCCCGACCTGACAGACTGAACCTCATCAGCCCGCTGGGATGGAAACCCTATATAACAGCATAGCATTAAATGGATAGGCCTTCTGACATCTATGGTACTGTTTATTTTTGAGCCGGCACGTTTCCTAAAAACCAGCCTACAAAACTTGGACATTAAATGGAGGATGAAATTCACGCAGATCAAAGCAAAACTGTCTGTCAGATACAAATCCATCAAAAAAACATATCTCGTTTTCAGTGGGATCAGTCGATTTAATCGAGTCAAAACACGTTTTTATGAAATCTCATTTAGGGTTTAAGTGAAAACTTATTTACATAACCCATTGATTCGAGGATTTGGATAGTGGACCTAATGTACGTTGATTTATAGGTCTAATTGCTCCAGAATGCGTTTGCATTTCGCCTTTGTAAGGTGGTTCACTTTTCTAAATGTACCGTGCAGTAAAGTTCACTAAGTGAGAATTGGCGCTCATATAGACTATAGCAGGGATGTTGCAGCTACTCCTTGTCATGCTACTCGTTTCCTTCGCGTACAGCCTGTCCCTCCGCAGGGTCACAGAGAGGATTTCATGGCAGCTTAGAAACACGCATATGCTGCGCAGATCTGAACGCTCTCCAGGGTCCCTCCCGCAAGTCAGGGCTGCTTTGTAGTGCAAATGAACACCAAAGAATAACGTGATGCGATAGGCCTAATAAAACTGAAGTGGGGATGAGGAGGTGTAGTGCCAAATAGGAGGGTTCCAAGAAAGAAGATGCACCGACACGAGAGCATTGTTAAAACAACCTTTATTTTTATGGGAACGTTTGCTGCGGAAAAATGAAGAGGGACAGGTTATGAGAATGTGCGAAGATTCGTCACTGTAATATGAAATAAAACTGAATTTTGTTTAGAGTTAGAGGGTACACAGGACTGGCGTATAAACATGAAATTTAAGTTAAACTATACTCTGAAATCATTAAAAAAAAATCCCATATCACATCAAAAAGTTTTATATACTGTGAGAATATTAAATATAAATGCAGATTTCCGGAGTCGTCGTAATAGGCCTGACTTTGCCCATCGATAATATCGTGGGGTCACCGAAAGAAATTAAATTACTTTTTTGGGAGTTTTGCGAAAGCCGCGGACAACATGCAAAAGTTTAGTGGAAGGGTCGACTGTAAACATTTTGTTTATGAGAAAAGAGCCTAAGTTAGGCCTATACGGAGCCTTTACAAATATCACTTGCAGAGGACAGACTGCTCATCCACGGCACAGACTGTCAGATAGAAGCGGCATGAGATCACGGCAAGTGGAAACTGCCACGATGTCAGGAAACGCACCTCCCCGCTAAATCCGGCCATATGGACGCAAACCTGCGGTACAAGGCAGGCATTTTCCTATCAAGATGCAGAAAATGGATCAAGAAACATTCTAACCAAAATATTTATCACGCGCAGGCTTTAAATAGCAGGGATTCGGGGCAGCAGTGTCGTTTGGCTCCGTATTGCTTTTTTCCTGCAAAACAAGCCTCGCATTAAGTTAACATTAAAGCACAAGTAAGTCCCTTGTCTGCTGCTTTGGACATAGCAACGTGCTTAGCATTTTTGTCCGATTTAGGAAGATTTAATTTTCTGAAAGAAAGAGGGAAGAGAAGATCGTGTTTAGTAAGGCTTTTAATGTATATTTTCATTATATATATATATATATGTTTGCAGTTAAACGTCCAGCTCTTTCATCACTACTCGGCTGATTTGTGTAGTTCACGCGCTTCCTTTGTTTTGTTGCCTTGGAAACATTCTGATAAACACGCGCTACTGTAAGGACAAAGACTCCATTCCCACAAGCGATTGCACACCATCTCTGGCATGACACGTGTTTGAACAATCTTCCCATATGCCAGCTAACTTGTTTTTTCTTCTCTTCTCTCTCTCCTTTTGTAGATCTTTGATTTTGGGAAAATATTCACAAAGCTGCGGGAAAAAAATCTACATTTGAAAGAGATGCTATTTAAAATCGGACGCGCAACTTTACACGCTGACTCAAACTGAAATAACTTGCCTATTCTGAGCTCTCCCTTGCATGCACGTAATACAGTATTTTATGCTACATGTTACAATTCCCAGTAGGCAATGCATAAGTACCCAGGAAACTATTAGTGAACGCTCCATGTCAATGGATCTGGTGCCATCACGTGTCATTACAGAAGTGCGTGTGTCAGACTCCATAAATCCTGATTTTAGTGTACTGGTTGAAATTGTCCATTACAATGTCATTAAAATGGTTGCAGTAATAGCTTGTCATAAGACAAGGATGTACTGTCACTGGTAGTGCTGGGAAGTACAATGATCCATGCATCTAAAACTTAACTTGGCTATGTTCATTATTAGCCAAATTTTTTATGCGACAAATATATTTTGTCTGTTACTGTATCTACAAAAATACCCGAAAACCCCATTGAAGATAAACATTGGATGAACCTACATGACAAGTGCTGAAGTATAATTAAGCACAAACAAACACTTTTCACAATAACTATTAGGCATTTTTATTTTGTTAGCATTTCATAAAAAATTAAGTACATAAGTGATGACCATAAAACTGATATCGAAAAGTGAACTGTGTTCCAGACAATAGATCCACGGGCACGCTGGCAGTTAACATCTCGCGATCCGTTCTCACGAGGCATTCTTCAGCAGGAAACTGGAGAGCGCGGGATCGGGTGTGTAACTGGTGACTGACGGGGAGCCATGCTTGAATCTGGGGGAGAGATGAATAAATAACAGCCCACCATTCCCTGCGCAAAGCATCAAACCAGTCGCTTCCGCCCAAGACGAAACACAGGGCCCTGAAATCCAGTTAGGGCCTGAAATTACATTAGAGCCCTGAACTTGGGTGTCTGGGACTTCAGAGATGATCCCACAGCCTGGTCTGAGGTAACCCTCCCCACCACAACTCCAGAATGTAACAGATCATTCCGGAACCCTCATTTCCTGCTTGATGACTTTGTGGGTCAATATTTATTGGTGCGTTTTCCGTTTAATAACGCTGTTGACCCACTCGTCAGAGTCAACAAGGCGTCTGCTTTTGGCTCCATCTCGCCGTGTCACCGCGCTCAGTGACATCACAGGCTGTCACTTGCCACGTAGCATTCGTCCTCTAAAGTGGCGTGTTGTGGAGTTTCAAATGTGCCGTTTTGCTCGCGGCTGTCGCATTAAAAGGAGCGGTGTCATCGACGCTCGACGGCACCGTGATACAAGGCTGTGGAGGAATTCCGCCTTTTTCTTCTCTCGCTGGGAACGTCAACCTCACATCTTTCCATCGTAGACAAAGCGGAACACAGCCAGCAAAACGGCCGTCTCTGAAATGTCTCTTGTCGGAACCGAGGCAACACTAAACCACAAGAAACGCGTTTAAATGGGAGCTCCTTCTGTCCCGCTGATCTCGAGGGCCTGGGGGAGGGTTCAGACTGGCATTCGGCAGCGAAAACACAAAAGTCTGCTCTGCCTGACATCAGCTGGACGAAGAAAAGGAACCGCATTGGAAATCAATGACCTAATTAACCTCGTCCCGAGTGCTCTGGCCATGATGTCATCCTTCCTGTTTCACCCATACTGGGAGGCACACTGGGAGTGCTGTGTATAGGCTGTTAAATATCTACAGTGGTTTATACCATATTATCACTAGTGAGATATGCAACCTAATCAAAAGTGTATATGAATTTGTTCTGTATTAACCGATATACCACTCATAGTAAAATGATGATTATAGTGTTTGCACAATTGTAGTAGCGAAATGACGTCATCAGTGCACGTCATCACGGCGGACGATGGAAAGATGTCGTAATCAGACGAACTGAATAAAAAAGCCAAACACATGGCACGGAAAGACGAAAACATATGTCCCAGTCCAGCTGGCTGAAGTCTTCCATCATCCAAATGAGAAGCTAACCAGCTAGGCTGTCCTTGCCTTTTGAAGCGGAAATCTGTGCCCCATGGCTTGGGAGGTCATGGTGGTCTTAGAGCCTATTATGAGGGGGGGGGGGATCGCAAACACACTCTCGGGGTGTCACCAAAGTCGGCATACATCCCAGATGTCGCATCTGATGTATACAATGGGACCAGACTTCTAACCTAGAAATTTTGCAGAGAAAGTTTCAGTGAAATATAACAGGATGCAGAATATGTGTAATCTAGAAAAGGAACTCGTTAAAATTTTCATTAACAACTGCAGCCTCTCTTAACAAACACAAAATCTGAAACTTCAGTCTACCAGTATTTACCATTTGAAAAATGTAAACAAAATGCCATTAACGAACATAATCGAATGGGTTGACAGTATACTGTATATTACATACATGTACAGGAAATCAACAGAAATGTCAAGTGTTACCTAAATTAAAAGTTGGCCCACTGGAACTGAGAAAGTACAGAGGTGTGAAATATTAGGAATTGAAAAGTCTACGACGACAAATCAGCTCAAGGTTCCACTAACTACTTGGACGCAGATTAATTGCATATATTAGAAGATTGTATTGCTTTCACGGTGTTTATTGAAACAGGTTTTCATCAAGGCTGAATTTAGTTAGAAAGTGCCAGACAAAATATTCTGCAAAATCATTCATTCCGTACTCTGATGAAAGACACAAATTTAAGCAATGTCGAGATGAAGGCGGTTGCACTGTTCACTTTGGCCCAACGCTCGTACGACGATCATGGAAAGTGACCAAGAATCACTAGTCTTTTCATGGTTTATCCTGGCACAAGACACTTATGGAAAAACAATATTCACACTGACAGTTCAAGACTCATAATGAGACCTAATTAATCAGTGAGTGAACCAGAGTACAAACAAACAAAATAAGTTATGATCAGGAATCTTTTTTATTAGTAGTTATTTTTTACTGTATATACTACAAAGAAGATGAGTTAGAAGTAATAATTTTTTCGGAAGACAAAATTTAAGGGCTTGTAAAAAAAGGTCCAATTGTGAACTAATGACATCACAGATGTACAATTGCACATTCAGAGGACAAATCATGCGAAAGTTAAACTCGATGAATGGGCCAATCAGATGAGCGGAACGTGTCGTTTTTAAGGCAATTTCTAGCATATCCAGAGTTAATTCAGTGAAAATCCAACATTGATGTCATTCACCCCCTTTAAAAAACGTTGACCAATGAGACTGTATGATTTTTATTGGTTAAGCTTGGGGGGGAAAATGAGATGCAAATGAGGAGTACGGCTTATGTGGCTCGTTAATATTGCAAAAGCGAACAGGCTACCCCTTCGAAAGGCTAGATTTAGATCAGATATCCATTACAACTTTCTCTTATTTCAGGGCCAAAAAAAAACCTTATTTAATAGAGTGTCACAAATGATCGCAGGGACTGGCAACCAAAAAAGTATATAAAACAGAGTAAATACAGTTCATAAATACAGTGGCATATCATTCTCCTTCACTCACATGACGGCGGTAGAAGACCAGGCGTATTTACAAGCGGATAGGGGAGACGCGGGTGATTGGATGAGCTGCTGGTAAAGAATTATTTAATTGCTAAAGGAGGAGAAAGGAAACTTCCCACTTGGGTCTTGTATACATTCCGGACAGCGGGCAGCCATCATCACAACACGCAGCGATTCACGTTTCCTGATGCCCGTAAACTGCTGTGTGGGTCTACCGTTCAAGCTGCGTAAGGGAGGGGGTGGGGTATTCACAGCAAGGCAGGAAAAGACGCTATACATCATAACCAGACACAGAATAAATGTATATCTTACAGCAGTTTTTCAGTTGCTTCTTATGGCTTACGGTATGGCGATTTATATACAGCATGTGTTTGTAAAAAACAAGAGTGGCATTAAATTGATCCTTTAGGTCCAATTCGTTCTAAAAAATACACAAAGGGGAGCTAGGTCTGTTCTCTAGCTTTTGGCGGAAAAGGTTACTCGATCAAACTGGAGTCTGTCGGGAAACGGAGACGCATATTATCTCGGTCTCTGGTCTCGCGCTCCTCTTCCCTTTCTCGCCATCACACATCAGCTGATCTGTTTATGGGGGGGCGTGGCCACGCTGTCCATGCAGTCACGTGACCCACGGTGGTACCATCCATCACCTTACTTGCCGGGTCCCAAGGTCCTTTTACTGTGGGCGACTGCGCGTCAGGGCTGTGTGGCAGGTGGCGTGTGTGTGTATGTGAGAGGAAAGAGGAGAGGAAAATGGGCTTGCCCGACGCAAACGGCTCTGAAGGTGGACCTGCGGATGGGGGTGCAGCATCTCCACTAGGGGGCGCTCTATTCCTGTGTTCTCAAGCCCTCCGACGGGTGGAGGTGGTGTCGCATTCCCCTGCACGGCAGAGATAAGGTCTCCGTGGCTTTGGTTTGCTTTGATATCTGAGATGGAATTCGCTCATGGGTTAGCCGGAAGGTTCCGGAGGAGGGGGGGGGGGGAACGCAGTACCAAACAGTCGCTGATGCATTTACGATCCAGTGCCGCCCCTTTTTCAGGCCATAGGTCCATTTTTTTGGCCACTCAGTAAACAGGGAGGGGTCCATTTCAGGTCACGCGTTATGAATCTGGCCGTTCCGTGAGTTTGGTTCATCGCCGGAGACGGTCGTCGCTGCTGACGTTCACGCCGTCCGCACACACCGCCACGGTGTCTGCGGAGAGGGAGGAACGGAGCGGATTTAGGCCGGGACACATGTGCGATACAGACTCCTCCATGCTGGAAGGGTGACAAACCACAGATAAGCAAACACACAAGGCTTTCTGGCCGAAGAAACGCGAATGTATGGCAAACATGCTTCGTCCAATTCATAAGCAAACCCTGAAGTACTATTATGGAGAAGTACTACATGTGTTAAATGCTTACAAGCCTGTTATGCACCGAAACATGTTTTTCACAAAGGCATAGGACTGGTTTCAGTATTGGTAGGGACACGTTCGTACCGTTCATAGCAAATCTGCACCCTTTCTATATATATATATATATTTTTTTTTTTTTGGTGGTCGCACGTTTTTTGGAAAACATGGCACTGACCACAAGACACCGGTTTCCCCCGGCAACCGGCAGGGAATCACTCACCTCCGCAGGGGATGTCAGGGGACATCAAGGCCAAAGGATGAAGGCGAGAGAGAAGAAGAGGAACAGAAAGAGAAACTGCGGAGCCAGGAGAGACAAACGCACGTTAGAGGCGGGGGGCCATTTAAAAGAGAGAGAAATGAAGACAGTTCTACTTTATTTGTTAGCATGTGAGGCTAAATAATCGGCTGACATTTAGCACGGTGTCAAACTCGAAACAAGAGAAAGTGTTCAGGAAGCGAGAGGGGAGATTTGAGGGGGGGGGGGGGTGTCTGTTTTTCTGTTCAACAACTGGAATCCTAAGTTCCTGACAGTTGGGATAATAGCAAAAGCAGCCCCATCCTAAGTGGTAGTCAGCGAGACCGGGGGCAGTCGGGGGTGACCACGGATCTCTCAGCTGTGGGACTGCATCCCGGTGCCCGAGGGGGGGGTCCCTGAGGGAGCCATGGGGGGGGTCTGTTCCCATAGGTCTCCTCCTCGCATTTTACTCCACCAGTCAAGGGTTTTAACCACTTTTCCATTTATTTCATAAACTGCAGATTTTTTACTCTTGTTAAGCTTTGGAATGTTGAGCGAACAACTATAAATGAAAATATAAGTCAAATAAAATAAGTTTCCTTTATAACATGGAAAGAGTATGTAACAGTGCATGTCTGACACCCTATTAACTGGCTGTGTGGTGATGGCAGATTCTAGGCCGTCCTTTAACTTTAAATACACTAGTTTCCTGTTTCGTCCCACGCCTCGAATTTTCTCTGCTGTTATAACTGCTATAGGGGGTTACTTTGATGAATCAAAGATATGACATTTTCTTGCTAATAAAGGTACTCAAATGGTGAACATACTGTAAATGTATTTGTTGGCAAAGAATATTGAGTTTATTTTTAGTAAATGTTAAGTGAGTAACATGCAGATGTAGAAAATCTCCGTGTATGCAAAAACTGGCAGTGTACGTGCGATCAGGGATAGGGGGCGCTAACTCGGGCTATCTTACCTTTTCTTCCAGGTCTTTGATCTGTCGCTTCTGAATATCCGTTTTGTCCTCCAGGTCTCGAATTCGCTGAATGGAAAACAGGCACATAAATTTCCCCGCTGCATATTAAAGCTATTTGATGTCAGTCCCGAAGCCGGCCGATTGTACTGGTATTGCTAAATTCTGTCCAGAACATATTTCGTATTAGACGCATGAAAATGCAACATGATATTGCATCAAGGACATTTTTATAGAAAACAGAGTGATGAATTAAACATTCTGTCCATGTTAATTTTATGGTCAGATGAGCTTTAGAAGTAAAAGCTTTGATAGCAGAACAACATCGCCCCCCTATGGTAAACTGTACAAACTGCAAAAACTTCTTACAGCAGAACTGAAATCCACTCCCAGTTTGCAGCATTCAAACTCCAAACATATTTCAAAAATACATGAAAACTCTTTCAGGGACAATAAGCTGTGATCATTGAAATCAATATTCTAAATGTGTATCATTATGCAAAAAATGTAGTAATCCCAAATCCATGCCTAATACTGTCCAATCCTTGATTCAAAAATATGTCATACATCAAACAATTTTTCCTAATATTTTGTTGTATATTTTGTATATTGTGACCACATTGTCTTTTCAATCTTGCCTTATCGTAATTACTGCCAGGTGAAGTTTATTTATTTCTAAATAAGAGTTAGCCACAAACTGAAGTAGCGTTTAACGCAAGACACTGAACATCGCCTATATTAATGGCTCTGACAATCGGTGTATGTGTGCGTGAAGTTGAACGACTAATTCCGTGATGTGCAGATATTCTGGTGAAGAAACTGAAAGTGCGGATCGCTACATGACTGTCTGAGCTGGACCACAAATCCCTCTTTAGATGAAACATAGAGATGATCATCAGCAGTACACGCCTGTAGTACACGCCTGCGGTACACGCCTGTGGTACACGCCTGAGGTACACGCCGGCGGTACACGTCTGTGGTACACGCCTGTGGTACACGCCTGTGGTACACATCTGTGGTACACGCCTGTGGTACACGCCTGTGGTACACGTCTGTGGTACACGCCTGCGGTACACGCCTGCGGTACACGTCTGTGGTACACGCCTGAGGTACACATCTGTGGTACACGCCTGAGGTACACGCCTGTGGTACACGCCTGTGGTACACGTCTGTGGTACACGCCTGCGGTACACGTCTGCAGTGTCAGGATATGCGGGAATAGGGGCTTGGATTTTAAGTGCTAATTAGCAGGTCTACTGGCTTACAAACTGTTATCCACTGAAAACCGTGAATACTGCTTATTTGCAGGGGTTAACAGGCACATAATCTGGGAGACACTTGGAAGGGGTGTCGTGTGGAGTGTGTTGTGTGGGAGACACAAATCTTCCTGATTTGCACGTGTCGGTGTGTACAGGTGAATACAAAGAACACCCAGGTAACAGATGTTTACACCCGTCGCATGCATCCCCCGCCCTCAGCTGCGCAGCTCTGCGCAGTGCTGCGCCCACTCCTACCTGGTGGGCCTGGTGCAGCAGCTCCATCCTCTCCTGCAGCACCTGGCAGTCATACTCGCGGCTCTTCCTCAGCATCTGCCTGCGCAGGCGCTCCACGGCGGAGCGCAGCTCATCGCGCTGCTTGTCGCTCAGCGACTCGCCGTGCCGGATGGAGGGGCCCTGCTGCAGCGCGTTGTACAGCGTCGCCTCCAGCTCCTGGATTTGCTGCGGGCGGGAGGAGCGAGAGATGGGGGCCTTGCAGCGGCTTTCCCATGCGCCGAACGCAGAGACACGGCAGGGCTTCAAATTAAAAGTCCTGGCTCGCTGCCTGGATAGACTCCAGGTTCACATCGATCCCATATAAAAGGGATGAATGGATGCATGCAAGGAATGATGATATACAATATAGCACTGTTGACTGGAAATGGGGGAGGTAGTTGTGCTTTTTTTTGCAGGGTATTGGTCCTTTTCAACTGAATCCCAAGCTGAAATCCTATTTCCTATACAGAGGTGTTTAATAATCTGTAACAGTCACATTGCTTTATTCCAGAATCACCAAGAACAAAAGGCTCATGGGATTTTTACTTACACAAAAATGTTCTGAGGGCAGAATGAAAAATTATTGGTTGAGAGAGAGAGAACCAATCAGATTGTAGAGGAGGTAAGTCTCAGCAACAGGAGGCGGGACCAACGAATCGGATGTCTTGGTTCAGTCTCCTTTACTTGCTTGGACCCACCCCCTCTACAGTCTGATTGGTTGTCTCTATGAACCAATCATTTTTCATCTTGCCCTCAGGACATTGTTGTGTATGTAATCACAAACAAAAGCCACGGCAGTGGGTCTTCACTCACCATGTAGGCCTGATCGAGGGCCTGCTTCCGGTAATCCAGTTCCTCCTCCAGGTACCCCTTCTGCTTGCAGAACATCTCCTGCAAAGGCAACCGCGACCATGAGGTTCCTCACCGGAAAATCCTTCGCGCTGAGCTTCAATCGCATCCAAGCTAAGAGGTTCAAGGAGCTTGCGACCCAGTCACCAAAGTGGTGTGTGGTTCAGCGGGTTACTATGTTACTATGATCGGAGGGTTGCTAGTTTGAATCCCATCCTCAGCAGAACAGGCACATGTCCATTGGGCCCCTGAGCAAGGCCCCGAACCCCCTAAAATGCCCCAGGGGTGCTTAGTAAATGACTCAAACCCCCAACCATCACTCACACCTGGATATATGTGTGTGTCTCAAAGGAGAGTCAGATGGGATATGTGAGAAGAAGGTACCTGTACCTGGCGAATAAAGTGTCATCTAATTTAAAAAATAATTTCTTACATACTGGAGGAGAAAAGCCCATTTTAATACCCCCCGAGATGTAAAATAGTCCAGATTTTTCTGTGTCTTTCATGCATCTGGGCTGTAGTGAGTCTCTCGTCTTCTGTCAAATGTGTAATTCTTCTACCTCCTGGATTTATTTAAACAAATTGTGAAAGACTAACAGAGAGGGAGGTAACCGCTGATGAAGCATAAAGGAGTGCAGGACCTGTAACTTAGGACACGCTGTGTAATTTATTATCATTACTATTATTATTATTTGGAAGGTGCACTTATGAATCTAGAGCTCAGATGCATCCAGGTGATGTAACAGAAAAAAAGTCAGAATAGGCTTAAGAGTCAAACACAAGTACGACGAGAGACATTGTTAATACACCCTGCCTGCCATTTATATTTAGAATATAAAAACACTTCCATTGTTTACAATTTCCTACAATTAACCATTTCTGTTCTGTGTCCCAGTCACTGTTAAACACCATAACCTCATAAGATATTCACCTTCTTATTTCATAAATCCACTCATTATCATGCGCTGGCTTAATTTCTAAATCTAGGGCACTGGTGCTGTAATTAATTATTAACCGCTACTTCTTAATTATTTATCAGCACGATTTAGATTGAATTAGTTACGGCTGCTCACGAACCATCTCAAGCTCCAGGTCCATCATCTTCTGGTGTAAGGCGGCCTCCGTGCCCTCGATCTGCTGGATCCACTAGAGGGCGACAGACACAATGGAAGACGGCGTGACGGGCGAACATGAATGAGCTTCCCGTAAAAGTACATTCTCAGGGGGTATTATGGGAAAAATGCCAGATTTTAAGAGCTGAGGAGGGAGAAAGGAAATGTATTCCTTTCACTTGCATTAAGAAAAACACCTGTCGTATAGATATATTCCGACAAGATGGATGGACATTTTTGGCGTATATATAGATACATGTCTGTATATGCGTTACATAAATAACACGGATCATAACTTATTGTTCTATGTACATACCTTTTCTGCTAGCGAGAGGACAGTGCTTGCTTGAATAATGGCTACTTGCTCTTCATTGCGCAGGTTCTGCAGATAAGAAACACGGTAAATGTGGTTATGTTGAAGAGCCTGTATCTCAGATCACCTGGATTACATGAACAATATCCCGTTTTATATTATCTCTGCCAGCTGCTAGCATACAAAAATGAGAGCTCAAGCAAAAAAAAAAAAAATTCGAATTTTAAAAACTGGAAAAATACTTTGAACATCGTGTGATCCAAGGTTTTAACAACTTGTGATGCAATGGCATCTCAAAATGGCATCTGTTTGCTTGCTCTCCATGAGATAGACATGCAGGTGAAGGCAAGCTTGGGGAGGGTCACAGTTAAGAGGCACCCTAGGGAGCTGGGGGTTAGGGGTCTTGCTCAAGGGCCCGTGGACATCCCTGCTGAATAAAAACCAACTTGACCAGGTTAAACTGGTTGACCAACTTATAATAGTTGACCGGTTTAAGGTATGTTTCAGGTTGATGGTTTAGCTGGTCATACCAGCTTATGATGGTCATTCTAACTGGTTTAGCTGGTCATACCAGCATGCCCAGCTTGAAAGACTGGCCACACCAGCTGGTGACCCACCCAGCTAAACCATCAAAGAGTAGCAAGAGCTGGGACATGACCATCTTGGATAAGCTGGTCTCAAACTGTTTTTTTTTCATCAGGGATGTGACTGATCTGCGGAGGCTGGACTTGATCCAGCAACCTTCCTTACACAGGCATAGAAGCATACTCCACTGAGCCACACACTACCCCTCAATTAGTATTGTAAGTCTAGGAATAGTATAGTATAGTTCAGTATAGTATACTATATTGTGGCATGGGGTAGTATAGTATAGTGTGGCATGGGGTAGTATAGTATGACATCGTATAGTATTGTCACGGCCATTTGTCCTATTTTTCCCTGTGTCCCATTCCATCGGTGCACTTAAACCTTCTTTTACAGCAGCACAAGACTGATTATAGCCCTGTGATAATATTGATCTTTATTACAGAAGCCGGAGTCTGTCATTCCAACACGTTGGCGACGCCGCGTTCTGCAGCTAGGCGACGTGCCAACATCAACCTTATCTGCACCAGAGATAAGGGTGCGGAACGTGTCATGTTGGTACCGCATAACTACCAGAAGACCTCCTGGGAACCAGTAGGATAAACGGCCGTGACAAATTACAAACTAGCATTAACCACATTCAGATAAGCGTTTGTGACGTGGCAGTAGGGGTGTCACGCATAGGGGGAGTCAGATTTGGAAGAACCCAGGATGTCGAATCGTGAAGATAACCTTTTCGACAAGGTTTTTTGTGTGGATTCAGCAGGGTGGGCGTATCTGCACCAGGATCTGGACACGACAAGTGGAAGAGACATTCTTACGTCTGGGCAGTGCTGAACCTACCCCGTTATCGCCCAGAATGTCAAGGAGTTTGATGAGATCGGGAATACAGACGTCCTGGCGGAGAAAAAAGAGGAGACAGAGTAAACTGAGTGGCAGAATCTGTAGGGCTAAGGCCTGAACTCCTCACTAAAGAAAAACAAATGACTCCATTTGTGCTTGGGCTGCTTCCCGTGATATCGATCAGAGCACTTGAGAAACACAGCTTTGATTTCATTCCTAGAGAAGTCGATCACATCTACAGTAGTTGACACTTTGCCTCTGTTTTTGTAAACCCCTCCCCCCAGTAATCAAAACCAGCCAATAAAATTCCCTGGACCCCCCCTAAATGGGTGGAGACCTCACCCCCCTTAGTGCTCAACCCAAAGTTATGCCCTTCTCTTATGAGTAATGTTCTTCAGCTGGGGGGGTGGGGGCTGTACTGAGCGGTATTGGACTCATGTAGGGCTTACCTTGACTCCCTCCTTCATGCAGTATATCTGTAGGGCACTGACCCCCTCGGTGAAGGGGTGAATCTGGAGATTAAATGGGGGAGACCTTCGCTCACGCTCCTGCAAGATGTAGGAAATACAATGGCGTGTTAAACTGAAGCGAAGCGAGTTCACAGTCACGCTATCGCTATGCGCCGCGTGCATTCATCCGCTATTAGACCCGAGTCTGGATCTGAACCCTGGCAAGTGTCTGCTAAAGCTTCTGAACTCTCCTTGCGGAGGTGAAAAGCAGAAGAAATTCTGACACCTTACTGAAAGCTCTTCTGTAACCCGCCGGCAATTACAACTTGAATAACCCCAGGGAACACAAGTGACTTTTTTTTTTTATCGTAAAAAGCATTTTTTTGTTGTTGAAGGTTTCAAAATAATAAGCAAAGGAACAAAACACAGACATGCACTTCCAGCAGAACGGTCCTCCTGGGCTATGAGGATGCGAAATGTGGGTGGCTGCGTCAGTCAACGTCTGGTGGGATCGTGCTCCTCGTTTGAGCCAAATGGCACAGCTAGACAACCAAATCCAAGGCTAATCTCACTGACTGAACCCACACGCAAATGACCCTGGTGACGGGAGACAACAGGATGAGGTCTGCATATGACGATCTCAATGTCGATCTCAAATTTCCAGCCGTAAACACACTGTACATGAGGATAAAGTCTGCAACATTCCAAGCGACGCCATATTGATATTCGGCTAACCTGTCAAATGAATTCAGAGATCTGTACAAATACGTGTGCATCCACTCAGGTAAACCACTAACATGAATCAGCCAGCTGCAGCTGAATACCTACAGCATGCGGGCAGAGTTATACGTTTACATTCATTTTATTTGTATTTATGTAGAGCATCGTAGGCAGCCCAAGTCCAATGGTATTCCAATGCACCGCGAACTTGTTTGTGGCTTTGCTGACAATAAAGGACCCTTGAGTATTGGGGTTCCCTTGTTTCGTTAAGCACCTATTTTATTTGGTTAAACCTCAGAACTGCTAAGGTGTGTGATTTATAAAAGTGGTGTGAGTGTTGGTGCCAGATGTTTCAGTCCCAGTATCTCAACAAACAACCAACAAACAATCCAGGGATTTTCACACAGTCTGTAGTTTGCAGAGAACTGTGCGATAAACAGAACAAAACTGTCAGCGGTGGTTCTGCGGGCCAAAACCTCTTTTTACTGAGAGGTGAGCAGAGAATGGCCTGATTCCTTAAACCAAACAGGAAGTCCAGAAGTGGTTCTAGAGGTAAATGTGGGTCATTTCCCATCTAGTTTTGTGTAACTAAATAGGTGACCACTGGGAGTACAGTAAACAATACTCTGGTCTCTTCACTGTAGCCACTGAGAGTACAGTCAACGATACTCTGACCGCAATACTCTAGCCACTGAGAGTACAGTAAACAATACTCTGGCTGCAATACTCTAGCCACTGAGAGTACAGTAAACAATACTCTGGCCGCAATACTCTAGCCACTGAGAGTACAGTAAATGATACTCTGGCAGCAATTCTCTAGCCACTGAGACTACAGTCAACGACACTCTGGCCGCAATACTCTAGCCACTGAGAGTACAGTAAACAGCACAGGTTGCAGAGGTCACCTCCAGCTCATGGATTCGGAATTCCATGAGCTCGTTCTGGTCCTTGGAGTCCTGGAGCTCCTGCTCAATCCGACTGATATCCGACTTCAGTTTCTGCCCCTGCGAATCGAGGTAGAGTAAACTTATGCGAGCATTCAATGGGAGCAGCCACTTTACATATTAACCGCCTTTCCGTGACCACACACCTTTTCGCGAAGCTCCTGATTTTGTCTGAGGAACAGTTGTTTTTCCTCCACCCATTTTGAGTCCTGAGGCGAGAACAAAACACGGTGATCTCACCGAGAAGATCTTTCTGGAGAACATATTCTTCACACATTCCCATCCCGGTTGGGCTGCATTCACCATCGGTGTGCCTCACCTGTCCCCTTTGCGTGAGTTCCTTTTCAAGGTCTTCAATCTTGGCTTGGTACCTGAGGACATCTGCTTGGAGCTGCTCGTGAACCTGCGAGGGTGGAGAATGTAATGTAAGAATATGACGAGCGTGGAGGTTCTTAAAGGGGATGTCATTTGGCACACAAAGTCCTAAAATAATGGAATCTAACATACACTCCTTAGGAGACTTTTATTGTGAAATATTACCCCCCTCAATCACTCTCCGTTGAAATGGAATGGTTAAAGATGTATTGCGTAGAAAACCTTTGGTGATTCTAGTCATAAAATAGATCCAACCCATATCGCTGGGCAAAGATACAATACCAGTCAAAGGTTTGGACACGACAAGCCGCCTACAAAGGAGACCGATAGTGTCACATCACATGACCTGGCCACCTGACCTAAACATGGTAGAAATGGGAGGAGTTTGAAGGAAAAGCGGCCAGTGAGTGCTCAGCATATATGTGGGACCTCCTTCAGGACAGCTGAAGCATCCCAGGAGGCCACCTCATGGAACTGGTGTAGAGGAGACAGTAGGGTCAGTCAGTCCCTGGGGCAATTGGGGTTAAGGGCCCTGCTCAGGAGCCCAATGATGGGATCACTCTGCAGACTGGGATTTGAACCGACAACCTTCTGTGTCCCAACCCACAGAGCTGCCCTCCCAACAAATTATTACTTTTTGCTTAATACTTTTTTGGTCAGTGGAAAATTCCATAAATGTTATTTTATAGTTTTGATGTCTTCATAATTATTCTAAAATTTAGAAAATATTACAAATAAACATTTCTATGGTTAGGTGTGTCTAAACTTTTGGCTGGTACTGTATATCAAGCTATATAACTGGGCAGTAATATATCAATATAAAAAGATACATCTTAATTTAATAGGAGCAACTTATTCCAGACAGATTATATTTTGTTGTCAAAGAATATATCTTAAGATGGTTATGTTATAATTTTGGCAAACTGAGAGCAGCAGATTATCGGATTGATTAGCCTTGGTTCCTGTAGCTCCGTCACTTTACCTTAGCCTCCATCTCCGCATCCAGAACACCTCCCTTCTGCTCCTGCAGGAGAGCGTATGCTCGCTGCAAGGCCTGGTACTCCCGCGTCAACTGACGGAAGCGCAGTTCCGACTCCTCATTGGCTAGGCCCTTGTGGAATAAGGACAGTGATATCATTCAGTTTTTTGCATTCCAGGAAGTCCCGCCCACCCCTAATACGGTGGCGGGTCAGCCATTTTTAATGCAGACGGACTTCACCTCGTCCAGATCTTCATCCGGAGTTGCCGGAGTTCGGTCCATCCGGAAGGAGGCCACTGAGGAGGATTCGGAGTCCATGGACTCCTCGTCATACCCGAAAAAGGTGTCCACCACGATATGTCTCTGCAGTGAAGATCGGGTGACGTGATCAGAATGTCGCTGAAACATTTGCAGAACGGATGAGATGACATGGCGGAAACTGAACCGAAGATTCCTACCTTGATGGGTCGAGAGCTTCGTTTGTGTCGCCTCTTACGCAATAGTTTTTCCCGATCCTGCGCAAGAAAGTGTCAGAACAAGAAAAATCAGCATAAATAAAATGTTTGCCATAAATAAGTCAATGTGCAAAACTTGGTTCTGGTTGCCAGTCAAAAACCCAAATTCCAATGGATGCATCAGCTCAATAGTAACACTTAATCAACTATATGCACGATATTTAAGAAATCCAAACACTACTCAAATAACAATTTCTCAGATATTAAAGCCAATTAGAGAAGAAATTCTAGTCTTGCGGGATTGACTTTGACGTTATTTTCTTTTGAAGCTTGACTGTAATATCCGCTCGTCTCTATGTGCCCCCGTCGATGCAAACTCACTCTCGTCAAGTCGTCGATCATGTTCTGCTGCTCGAGAACTTGCAGCTTCAGGAATTCTATCTCCTGGTCGTCCTGGGCCTGGTCCAGATCATTCAGAGACCGGAGCTTCTTCAGCGGTGGATGGGAACCTATCTTCTCCTTCTGCGAGCAGACAACAGCCACCACTAGTCAGGGATTTTGATACTCTGTCTACTTATAACCCGTGTTCATATTTTGCCCTTTGAAGCGGAAGAAGAGTCATATCTTGGTTAATTTCAATAAACCCAATGTAAACTGTAGGTCAGTGTTTGAATTACACACTTTTACGCCCCCCCGCCCCAATCAACAACTTCTTTGGGTAGTGACTTACAACCTACAGGGCTGAGTCAGTATTTCTAACAGGACAATCAAACCAGCAGTATGTATGACTTCTGCTTCATAATACAGTGATATGATGTTTGTCCATCTACAGCTAGTAATTGTTGGCCTACCAATTGCTTAAAACATCTCACCATCTCAGTGTTCTCCTTCAAAAGCGCCTTGATCTTCTCCTCCTGGCGCTGAATGGACTGCGTCAGCTCCTCGTTCCTCTTGTTGAGGAGCTTGTTCTTCTCCAGCATGGGCTTGCACTGCTTCTCAGACTCCCGCACACGCTTGAGCTAAGGGGTGAGGCACGGAAGACCAAACCCGTTGCAGGCAAACCAGTTCCCGGCAAGCACGCCTTTGCTAACATCAATAGCTAGCGGCGGCTAGCAGCCAAAACATGCCGACCTGCAGGTGCTTGCATGTTTAATGGTTTTGCCAGCTATATCTCTACTGTTTATATTGTTTTTAGTTTTTTTTTTTGCTTAAAATAGCAAAGCGAACAATAAAGTCCCTGATATGCAGATCTATCGAGCCGATGATTGACCGTGATGTCATGCTGGCTGTAAAGATGCGGGTGTCAGATGAGATAAGGAGGCATATCTATGACAGGGCAACGTCAATGTGAAAGGGGGGGGGGCCCAAGATGAGCACAGCGACGAGCCAAAAATCTGCACCGCCAATGAGGCTGGAAACGGTAAATTCTACAGGGTATGTTAATTCAACTCTGATTGGATTACCCCAGCTAATGATATTCTGGCCCACTGATGGCTCTTTATGCTATTGGCTAAGCCCTCGGAGGCTGTACCAGCTCGTTCCGCTCCTCCCCCAGAAGCGTGTTGCGGTCCTCCAGCTTGCGGATGTTGGAGTTGAGCTCCGCCATGCGCCTCTGGTTCCTGCGCATGTCCTGGGTCACAAACACAAGGAGTCAGTGGGGAACCAACATGCATTTTGATCAGAGGTAGGCAGTTCAGGCCCAGAATGTTAAAATCCAGTCCACGATTTTGTTTCAACCACTCGGCTGAGTGCTCTGTGACAGGGACTCTTTATACTCAACTGGTCGGTTGAAACAAAATCTTGGTCTGGAGTTTAACATTCTGGACCCATCTCTGATTTTGATACAGTGTGGCCCCAGTACTTGTTAGCATTGCGGCTAAGGACCCTGGAACCTTCAAAGCCATCAGCTCGATCTACTCCCACCCCCCCCCGTCGTACCGGGCTGCCACAGTGCTCCGAGCCGTCCGCTCCGGCGCGCCCCGGCACCTCCCTCTTCGGGCTGCCCAGGTTGCACTCCGCCTCCTTCACCAGGAAGAGCTGCTCGTCCAGCGCGTCCTTCTGTAGCTGCAGCTTCTGCAGGAAGCCCGTCGCCGACTCCAGCTCCTTCTCCAAGGAGAAGATGGTCCTATCCTTGGCCTTGATCTCGTCCACCTGAGCATAGAGGTTCACATGCAGTCGAAATCCAACCGAGAATCCGGGATACAGAACCTGGCCGGAACAAGCCTGGACACACCTGCTTTTAAAGCATTTGTCTCTATTTTAGCTAAATTATTCACATTATAGTCAAAGACCTCAAAGCGATGAAATAAATACATATGAAATATCGCAATGACCAAGGGAAGTGTTCAACATCTCAATTTTCTCAAATTTTACACTCTTCAAAACAGCCCCCTTTTGCTTCGACGGCAGCGCTGCAGACTCTCAGCATTCATTCACCCAGCTTCCAGATGTAGCCACCTGGGATGCTTCTCCTACAGGCCTGAAGGAGTTTCCACAAGTTCTGGGCACAAGTCGGCTACCTTGCTCTGACTCTTTGATCCAACTCATCCCAAACCAGCTCTATATGGTTCAGGTGGGGGGATTGTGGGGGGGGCAGGTCATCTGTCACAGCACTCTGTCTCTTTCATTGTTCACAAGAAAATACCGTGCTTACATACCATCAGTGTGCTTAAGCTCTTTATCTGGTTGAAATACAAATGATTTTCGGTAGCTGTGTCCAGACTTTTGCCTTGTACTATACAGAATGAACGCTTACTGGGAATAATGCAGAAAATGCTTTACTGATATCTCTCAGTATGATACAGACTATACTTAATATCAGTATCTACCAGCTTAGATCGAAGACCAGTTATGTATATATTGTTTACTACAGGAAGCTCTTAATTTGAAATGCTAACAGCGAAGCACATTGACTGTCTATACAGAGTAAGAGCTCAGTGTAGGAAGTCCGTAACAGTCCTTTCTAGCATGAAAATCTGTCTAATCTCCCTCATTGCAGTATCTCAGACAGTCTCACTGTTTACCTGTTATTCTCTACTGACATGTCATGTGTTGTCTGGGACATACCTATAATTAAGCTCCGCCCCCTTTCCTTTTATAAATTGTGCTTATTTTGGTGCAATAGAGAAGTGTAATCTATAGAATATCAGTCCATGAGGAAATGCCGCACTGCACTGCACATGGCTAAAAAAAATGGACATATTTTCTTTCCTCAAAACCAGGGGCGTGGCTACGGGAGGGCAGGGGGAGGGCCAAAATGAACCAATCACGGAGTGGCTAAATTATTAATGACTAATACCGTCCCCCCAACATGGTAACTTGGTAACTACTCTAGAATGATTGCTAACACGCTAATGCCACTGGCGACGTAACAGTGTGGACAGTGCCCTGCGGCATGGCTCCCCCTGTCTGTCCTCCTCACCAGCCTCCGGATGTCCCGCTCGCAGTCCCACTTGATCTTAGAGATTTGCTCCTGGTGCATCTGGTGCTCTGAGCGCAGGTCCCCGGCCTTGATCTTGTCGGCCTGGATCATGGTGCTGAGTGCCTCGTCCGTCTGCTTCTTAGACGACTTCAGCTCGGTGATCTCCTGCAGCAGCTTGACGCGTTCCTGGTCGAAGAAGCGGCGCGCCTCCTCGCGGGCCTCCAGCGCCAGCGCCGTGCGCACCTTCTCGCCGCTGCCCTCGCGCAGCGCCCCCAGTGCCGCCTTGAGGCGCTGCGTCTCGCCGTCGCGGATCTTGGTGACGCGCGCCAGCTCCTGCTCGTGCTGCCGCGCCAGCGACTCGCGCAGCGCCTGCAGCTCCTTCTGCTTCTCCTCGTGCCAGCGGGCGCGCTGCTCCGTCAGCGCCGCCGTGTGCCGGTGCTGCTCCTGCTCGCGGATGCGCTTCGCCTCCTGCACCTTCTCCCGCTCGAGCTTGTTCACCTGCAGGGGGCGCCAAGGTTCATAAGCCCAAGGTTATATGTTAATGGTCTTTGGAATGGTCGGCAGCTCAGTTGGTTTGGATGCTTTGCCTGAAACCAGAAGGCTGTTGGTTCAAATCCCCGAGTCTATAGCAGGGCTATTCCAAATCCAGGCTCTGTTTTCAGTTACCCCAGTTAGTTTAATCATTACTGATTCTGATTGGCTGGAGGCTTCGCACCCGGCTCACAAGTAAAGGAAGGCTGGAAAATCAGCAGGGCTTGGACCTTCGAATAGCCCTGGTCTACAGAATGATTTCACAGTTGGGCTCCACACCCCCAATTACCCCTGGGATTTTCTGACCTTGCTTTTCCAAAATAATGTATGTTGCTTTGAATAAAAGTGTCTACTAAATAAAAATTTAAATGTAAAATGAAGGACTGTTAGCTCACAGCGGGGCCAGAAGGTGGGGATATGATTAATACTCTTAACCTAAAGATTGGCAGTTTGAGCCCCAAGAAAGACTGAGTTATATAAATTAGTCAAACTGTAAGTGATGTAGCTCATATGAATCGATGGTTCAGGCTCAATTAAGTCCATCAGCAGGACAGGGGTGCTCATTAAGAGAGCACTTAATTATATTAATTGATAAAATAGAAGCAGGATGAGTGTTCCCCCAACGTCCGCACACTTCGTACAGCGTCCTGACAGCATGCCTCAGACCTTTGACCCGGGGGTCACAAGTGGAGACCCGCGACTCACCTTGCATTTCTCCTGGTGCAGCTCTATCTGGATATCCGTCAGCTTCGACCTGAGGTCTTCGTTGGCCGCCTGTAAGGCGGATATTAGGGCTTCGGGCTTCTCGCCCTTAGAGCGTCCTTTTTTCGCCATGGGATCAAATGCTGAAGCTCTTAAAATGCTTTAATTCAGAAATGTCCATCGCCTCGGAGAAGTGAACTAAGGTCCTCCAATGCTTCCAGTCCCTCTTCTTCCTCATTGTCCTAAGAGTCAGAAGACCTGCGAGGAGAAATAACGGTGAAGAACGTCTCTCAAGAGCATCAGCTTTAATTACCTCAGCGATACTCCAGGGTGAAATTCCCCTTTCTGGTCCATCCTGTCGGAGTAGGACCGTAAACCGAAACATCCGTATACAGCCGTGTTTCCTCAAGGACCCACAAACAGACCACAGTTTTGCTCCTACTGGGGGCTGGGAGGGAGCAAATATGTGGACTGTCTAGCAGGGAGCTCGGAGGCACCAAAAACATGGACCGACTGAGGATCCCCAAGGACCGGACTGGGAAACGCTGGTATACAGTAATAAAAAGAGCAATTCTCATATTTAATATCTTTGCGTATGAATCTGCATCATAACGTGTATTACAAGCTATAATCTAGATTACTGTTTATCTTGGTATCTGGAATACATGGGAACCTGTGGATTAAAACTATTTTAATGCAAATATGAAAACAAGATTTTATTCTAAAAGTACGAGAATTAATTGGTAGAAGAGAGAATTGCACTTATGCACACTGCAGGTGCAGTGCTGAGTGCAGTGTTTTCCATACACTGACAGTGCAAACAGCAACAGTGTGCGGTTCAGTTGGTTAGGATCGGAAGGCCAGAAGGTCGCTGGTTCAAATCCCACAGTCAGCAGAATGACTTCACCTCTGAGTCCCAGAGTAAGTCCCTAAACACCAAATGTTCCAGAAACTAGCTGACCCTGCTTTCTCAAAAATGAACATCGCTTTGAATGAAATCTGCTAAAGGAATAATTGTAAATGCTGTCATCGAGAAACAGATGCCAACTATGCATTTATGGTCTAATGATGAACAACACAAATTTTTTCAGTTGTATATTTGAAGTTCATGAAGACGACTGGGTTGGCAAATCGTCCATAGGTATGAATGTGTGTGTTGATGGTGTGGGAGAGGGCCCTGCGATGGGTTGGTGCCCAGTCCTGGGTTATTCCCTGCCTTGTGCCCAGTATAGGTTCTGGACACCTGTGAAACTGCATAGGACAAGCTTGTATAGTGGATGGATGGATACTGGAGAGGGTTTATTTGGATAAGAATAATATTTAATATTTCTTTCCGTTGTCTGGAAATGCCTCATTTAGTGCCAGAGAGATTAGCACAAATGTAAACACAGTAGGGGCAACTCTGTGCCTCAGTGGGGCAACACTGTATCCTCAAACCCCCTGGGTTTTACTCTCTGCCCGGTTCTCAGTGCAGACTTCCCCATATCCGTACGGGTTTCCACTAGGTCCTCTCTTTTTCTCCAGTGACACACGGCTTAGGTAGATTAGTGTCTATAAAGTGTCTGTCTTTTTCTCTGTGTGTGTGTGTGGGTCCTGTGATGGACCGGTAACTCTGCCTCTTAACTGCGCTTCCAGGCTCCCCGGAACTCACCGGAACACCGGATGAGCAGCTGTGGGAGATGGATGTGAAAGTAGAGGCATATATTTCGAGACGGCGGCAGCATTTCACCTTACACAACCAGGGCGGCAGGTTTGCTCATGGGAGTTACACTTACACAAAAATGTTCTGAGGGCAGAACGAGCAATGATTGGTTCAGAGGGATGGCCAATCAGATTGTAGAGGGTAGTGGGTGCACACAACTAGTGGAGGTGGGACTAACCAATCAGATGTCTGCTCTTACTGGATAAGCCCTTTTTGTGGAAGGATGTCCATCACGCTTTTCATTAAGTGTGCAGCTCACTAGGTTAGGCTGTTGGGCCGGCGATCAGAAGCTTGTTGGTTCAAATCCCAGGGTTGGCAAGGTCATTTCACTACTGGGCCCCTGAACAAAGTCCTTGACCTCCAATTGCTCCAGGAACTGTCTGGCCCAGCTTTCACAATGAATGAAATGTAAATGTGGGGGTGATTCTTAAGGGGGCTCTGAGACAAATCCATGCAGGATGAAACTTCTTAATGGATTTACAATAACAGTTTTGCAGAGGGGTCCGTTTTGCAGAGGGGTTCTTGCTGGCTTGGACCCTTCTCTATTGGACAGGACTGAATCACATTGTGGGGGGGGCACATGCCAACCCCCCCACACACTCACTCCTCCCACCGGCCACCGCTGCTCCCTGGACCCAGAAGCGGCGTGTTTGCTGATGTTTATATGCAGGCAGAGGTGACAGCCAATCAGCAGTGAGACGCTGCAGTTCCTGCTCGGCCTTGTTCAGGCAGCCTGTGCGCTCGCATTCTCTGCGTCTTCGGTATTCCTGGCCAATCAGGGTCAACGATCCTGAATCCTTACAGCTGGGTTCTCAAACCACCAGGAGCTGTAACGTGGTCCGTCGCGTGTTTTTAATTCATTCTTAAATGTGGCCCACAGGCCGATCTCTCGTTTTCCACTTAACCAAGCCTATGCTGGGGTGAGTTTCCCAAAGCCTTCTTAACGATACGTCGTTCGTTAGTTCTATCTTTTAACACAGAACTTAAGAACGACGTAGCGTTAAGAACGCTTCTGGAAACTCACCACTGATTGTTTTTCTTGTACATTCACAAAATACTGACATTACATTTTGCCTTCTGTCATTTCCCTTTTGTCTCATAAAAAGCTCATAATGGTTCATAAATAAGACAATGGGTCCCAGGTACTGAGCTTGAGACCTCTGTCATACGGCTTTTGCGATGTAATTAATTGCTATTAATTCTGAGAAGCTAGCGTGTTAGGCTACTAACCTGTGTTGACGCTACAAATGCCCCAATTAAAGTGAAACATCTAAATCAGGGCTGTCAAACTCCAGTCCTGGGGGGCCGGAGCCCTGTGTAGCTTAGTTCTTTCCCTGTTCCACCATAAATGATTTAGCTTATGAGCTGAGTGGTAATTAGCACAAGGAGTTGAATCAGGTGTGTTAAACGAGGGTAATCCAAAAACTGTGAAGGGCTCCAGACCCCCAGGACTGGAGTCTTACACCCCTGATCTACATCGTCTTTAAATCCACCCTTTGATCACATGTCTGCAGCACCTGTCTGCGATTGGCAGTAACCCGCTTACAGGTGTGACACGCCTTTCTCACAGAGAAACCGAGTTAAACACTTCCTATACTGGCTGGAATTTCGTGTCATGTGACACACCGGTAATTAATCTCCACACCACTTATTCACTTATTTTGGTGCAGTAGTGAAGCACGGTCTGTAACGTAGCTGCACATTGGGAAATAGATACATTTCCTAGAGTAAAATATTTTTCTTATCGCTAAATTGACGCTAACACGCTAATGCTAATAGAAACATTCCTTTCCCTCATCCGCAGCTGAGCTCTGCAGCCACGTTCGCTCCTCTACAGGAAACCCTCCTCCAGGGAGGTGGGGGGGGGGGGCTACCATGGCAGAATGATGCAGCGGGAAGGGGGCGGAGCCTCGCCGCTGAGCGGTGCGCTCGCATGAGGAGACCGGGCCCCCGGCGCCCGTGATTGGCCGGCACCGATGGCATGCCTACCACTGCCGGCGGGATGCAGCTTTAAGGGAATCCATTGACAACATGGCCGGGCGTCTCCATGGCAACATGTTCACTGCAGCGTTCCCTACATAATGCAGCTCTTCCATGGGGAGGGGAAACGGGATACGGAGGCGCATACCATTCGCCGGCCATTTCGAACTGGGAACGGGCAGAGTTCAGCCTAGGCTGTTAGCATTCTTCACAAACACACGATAATAGATGCTATTTTTTCATTATCTAACAGGTACAAGACGCTAATAGAATTGGCTCATTAGACCGACATTATGAAGGTCGGCTGAAACATTGTATCTTAAAGCTGCAGATGAAAAAACCTGAGAGAGTAGTTAAGAGGCAGCATATTTATGGTCTTTTACATAATAGGAAAGTAACATGATTAAAAAAAAAACAATTAAATAGATCAAGTCAATCCAAAGATGCAGGACACAAAAATCCTGGAATTACCGTCATACACTTAATAAACCAACCAAATGGAAATATTACACATTTCTTGTAGCTGCTCAGAAAAAGAAAATGTAGAAAGATACTTTTGCGGCTCAGTCAGACAAAGGTAACACTACTATGTATTCAGTCTGAAAATATTTGCCAAGAACCATATTCACCTGAATGAACAATACAGTTAGTCTGATCTGATTATCTCGCGACGGCGTTCCCACAACTCCACGGATCAACTACCAGCTACTGTTTATGATGGAGAGTAACGTTCAAAGCCCAAGTGATGGGCTTTAGTTTGCAAAGGGAAAGACATCTAAGCTCTGAAAATTCAATATGTGTATTAAAACAGGATCAGAAGCGCACACTGACAGCACATTGACAACGAACGTAAAACAATTAGCCTAATAACCATATGAACACGCAACACTTACATAGTAACAACATATTTATATATGTTTAAAATATAAATGCTACATATTTTAATACATGAATAGTTATTCATACAAATTTTGAATATGAACAGCGCCCCCTGTCTTCCTCCCCCCCAGGGAATCTGAGAATTCCTTCACAAAATCCCTCTCGAACCCGCTCTCATGCGTGAAGGGTGCTGAGACGGCTGTTCTCGATTTCCCTGCCTCCTCATGCGTGACTGGCTCTACCACAAGTCTGCCGCCCCCCTCCCTCCCTCCCTCCCCGCCCCTCCCCCCGCTATGACTTCCTGTGTCTGAACTGGTAATTGTAATGTAAAATCCAGTCATTTATTTCCAAACAACCCCCAGGGCCATGGAGCAACACCAACCCAACTCTCACCCCCACTGTCACAAACCCCCCCCCCCCCCCCCCCCCGAAAAAAAAAAAAAACAAAACTGGCAGAAACGGACAGAGTGATGCATGACTGTCTTTGATAAGGAAAGCTCATTATAAGAAGTGGGTAAAAAAAAAATCTTAATCCATTCAAAGCTCACAAAGAACACAGCGTGACAACAATGAGCAGGAGCGGGACAGAGTGTGTGGATTCTGCCTGTTAAAAGCCTACATTAAACCCAGAAAGGCCAATTTGACACCTGGTGTCCGAATTCATTCCGAAACCCTCATACTTATTTACAATGCATTC